TGTCTTGGATTTAGCTTTGGCCATGTGCTGGAGGCTTCATGAGATATTTTTCTAAGTTGTTGGGCCACCTCGTAAGGTGATGAGTTAACTTACTAAGGTGATGGGCCAATTTACTAAGGTGATGGGCTAATTTACTAAGGTGACAGGCTAATTTTCTCTCTTTCATGCTTACCCACATATTTGGGCTCAAGAAATGGGCTCGAGTTTTGGGGCTCCCAAGCAGCTCTAAACTTCCACTTCTTGGCTCATCAATGGGCCTCGTGAATGCTTGTAACCATCCATACCACAAACCGCTCAGTAAGCCTTGAGCATTTGCATGGCTTTGGCCCACTTAAGCTTAAAGCGTGGTTAGGTGCAAAATAAAGGTTTTCCGCTTGACATTGCATGTTGTTTGGCGTGCTCGTACTCGAGTTTTATTGCATTGTAAAGGGCTATGGTCGCACCAAAATGACGCTTGATGGGATAATAAGCATGGGTCCATAAAGTCAGTACATTTTACGGGCTTGTTATGACTTTTGGTGTGACGGGTTATATATTTGCTTGGTGTGGCATGTGGATCATGACTCGTGTGAGCGCGTACGACGAACTCTCGCGTCCCCAAATCGGGTTTCTTCTCAATATGGTGTCGTATTGGGCTGGAAATATATTTGGGTCTAGCCTTGGATTTTTTGGGCCTTAACAAAACCCAATCTCTACAACACTCAAATCAAATTACTTTTCCATTTTGCTTGTCACTTTTATTTTGGTACTTTTAATAATTTCTTTGTGTGCAGACATTTGCCTATTTGCTTATTGAGGATATGACACTTGAACTTCCAAGATTATTACTACGTGTGACTACTTGCACTTGGGTAGACGCAACATTGACCAATATCAAGTGGCAACCTATTTGACATTTAGAATGCAAATTCCTTGTTTGAGATCCTAAATAAATGACATCAAAGGAGAAAGACTTTCATAAAACGGGGACAAAACTATTTTACTATTTCCAATCAATAACGCTATGACACGCATGATAACACTTTCACATATCATAGCATTATTAGCTGAGAATAGCAAAATAGTACTATCTTTGTTGCAACTAAATTTTTCTCGCATCG